GGAGGGGAGGGAGTGGCAGGGGCCAGAGGCAGCATCCCCCGGAAGGCGGGAGGGGCTCCTATGTCAGCTGCCAGCGCCAGGCCGGGCGAGGCGAGGACTGTTCCCGCAGCCAGGTGGCCCCCGTGGGCTCCTCATCCCAGTCCTGGCATCAGCAGAGACAGTGGGAGGGCTGGAGAAGCATCCCATGCCGGGCCCCCGGCCCCATGGGGCAAGGCAGGGGGCAGGGGCAGGTGTCCCTGAGGCTACAGTGGCAGGGGCCAGGCCTGGTTGTGAGGGGAGAGGGGACCGGGGTGCATTGTCAGAGCTGGTAACGTGGCTGGTGCCCCTCACTCCCGCCCCACAGCCCCCTGTGCCAGCCCAGCCCTGCCAGTGCCTCTTATGCCCAACAGTCACTCCAGCTCTCCTTTGCTCTCAGCTCCTTGCTCCCTCCAGCTGCCCCCTCACCGTGGCATCCAGCCTTTCCCACTGCACCCAGGGTGACCAGCTGACAGTGGCAGCCCGTACCAAGCCCTGTGGCCTGGCCAGAGTGCTCGGACCTGGCTCAGGCATCTCAGTCCTCCACCAGCGGTCCTGTGGCTTTGTGGGAGCCGGGCTGGGCTCGGTGGTGTGGGTCCGGTGAAGGCAGGGCCAAGAGTGGCTGGGGGGGGGGGGCCGGCCTCGGTGGGTGGGGTCGGGTGAAGGCAGGGCCAAGAGTGGCTGCTGCCATGGCCCAGCCAGGCTGGTCTCATGCCACCGATGCCCTCCCAGCTGTCCCTGCACGGGAGCCCCCCCATCTCGCAGCGTGGCAGGAGCTTGGCTCTGTGCCTCCTCTGATCCTATTAAAATAACTCTTCCCATCAAGCATCTGTAGCACTTAAACACTTGGCTCACCGAGGCTGACGCTCCGGATCATTTTCTTGCTCGTAATTTTTCGGGTCACCTTGTCGAGCGCAGCGCCCGCCCGAGCCGGCTCCTGCCGCCGGGCCCTGTTAGTCTTAGCCTCGAGCCAAGAATACCTGGACAGGCTCCGGCTGGTGGGGGAGGCCTCCATGGTGCCAGGGAGATTCCCATGCCCACCGGCCCCTGGCACGTGGAGCAGGGATGGGCTCTGGCCACCACGGGGGCTCCTGTGCCGGAGAGGGGGGAGCTGTGCTGAGCTTGCGGGGCCGGGATCAGCTGCACACATGGGCTCATAACGCCAGGGCAGGACCCCTGGGAGCTGTGCCTGGCTCCAGGGGGGCATCGCCCATCCTGTGCCTCAGTTTCCCCAGGGCAGAAGGCTGGAGATGGTCCCTGAGGTGCTGGGAGGGGACATGGGCCAAGCTGGGTGGGTCTGCATGGGAAGGTGTCTCAGCTAGGCTCCACTCCTGCATCCCCTGCCCCTACTTCTGTAGCCCACCCCAGCCCCCTCCCCTGCGCTAGGCCAGGCCCATGGCACCTTGCGGGTAAGGGCAGGGGTCTGAGGAGCTCCCCAGAGCCCGGGGGGAAAAGCTGTGCCCCCCGCCAGGCCTGGAGAGGCAATAGCTCTGGGTCCATGGAGGAGAATCTCATATGCACCCGCCCTGCATGTACACACACACACATATAAATACCCATACCCCCCCAAGTACACCCCCCACCCCACACACACATATACACCCCCATCACCCACACATGCACACACAAGCACGCACACACAGGGAGCGGAGCGGGGGTGCACCCAGTGAGATGCCCCAGCAAGGCAGAGAAAAGATGACACGACTGAGCGACGGCTGAATAGATTTTGGGCCGGATAACGCGGGCCCCGGCTGCGCGCCGCGATGCTTGGATAAGCAGATAAATGGCGAGGGAGACGGCTAGCGCGGGCGGGCCGGGCGGGCGGCTGGACAGCGGGCCGAGCAGGCGTGGCCCGACCCCGCGCCTGGCGGCAGCGGTGGCGGCGGCACGCGGCTGGGAGACAATGGGCATTTCTCTATTTCTTGGAAATTTCGCGGCATTCATTTCAGCGCAAATAAAAGCTGTCACTGCCGGAGAAATGATACTGATCGGGGCCTGAAAAGGCAGCAAATTACCCGGCGGAGAATGCGCCGCCGGAGAGAAAAAACTGCATATTAAACACACAAAGAGCCACTTTGCCATCAGCCGCACTCCCCCCGGCGCGGCGAAGAGCCGCACTTTACATAATTCTCCCTCTCCACCTTCGAATTAATTTCACACCGAGACAGTGAGGAGGGGAACAATCTCCAGCGAGGCACCCACGCGGTTGGGAGAGGGGCCACGATGGGCTGGCCCCCTGCGGGCACCTTCCCGGGCCTTTGCCCTCCGCGGCCCAGCCCTTGTGCTCAGCCCTCCTAACCAGGGCGGCGATGCAAACGGCTCTGCCCTGGCAGTGGCAGGAGGAAGCTACTGAAATGCGGCTGCTTCTGGGGTGCAACAGGGCAGCGGTTACAGGTGCCAAGACAAGGGGTGGCAGTGGAGCTGGCTCTGCCTCATGGCACCTGAGGGCAGGACACCAGGCCCCTGCCTTGACTGGAGGGACCGAGGCTGCAGGGCAGTAGAGCCAGGGCGCCCAGGATGTGCCTCGTCCCCAGGCCCTTGGCACCTGGGTGGGAAACTGCAGACCCTGCGACTCCCCTTGGCAGCAGCCTGGGCTAATGCCCCAGAGCCAGGGGGCACCCTGGGACACAGTGACCCCCCCAGGCATTCCCACCCCACTCATGCCACCGTCCCCTCCACGGCCCGCTGAGGATTGTGGGCAGCGGAGCCCAAAACAGGCCCTGTGCAAAGGATGCTGCATCCACACCAGTGCATTGCTCCCACAGCCCGGCCGGCCCCAGACGGTCCCCAGCCCCAGGGGGACGAGGGCACCATGGGGACGTCATCCATGCACAATAGGTCTTTTCTTGTTACCCGGTGCGGGCTGCCATGGCAACCCAAAGCGGCCCGGCCACTAGGAACTGGGCTCCCAAGCTCGCAGCTGTCACCACAAGCCAGCCAGGGCGGGGGTGTCCCCAGCCTGTCCCGGGCCCCTCGTCCCCCTATGAAGCCACACGGCTGAGCGCAGCCTGGCCCGAGGTCCCGCCGTGCCTGAGAGCCAAGGGAGGGGCCCAAACCCCCCGGGCCAGGATGCCGCACGCTCCTCGGAGGCGAGATGACTTGCTTGTACCAGCAGCCTGGAGAGGAAACACACGCATGCACACGCATGCATAGGCACACGTGCCCGCCTCCCTCTGCTATGGCTTCATCCAGGTTCACACCGGCTTTGCAGCCACCAGGGACCTGAACACCAGCTGAAAACTGGGACCAGTCTGACCACCCCACTGGAACGCACCCGTCTGTAGCTGCACACTGGGGCTGGGAGCTGAGGCCAGTGTGTGACGCCTGCTCCCTTAGGACTGCAGAGGCCAAGACTCCCCCTGCCACCCCATCCCCCAGGTGCCCCCGTCCACATCCATGATGGACAGGCTCTTGCCCCTCCCCCTAGCATGGTGGACAGGCCAGCACCCATTTGCACCACAGCTGAGCTCACTCACCTGCGTCCTGGTGGGAAGCAGAGACCCTGGGGGGCTGCTGTGCCTCCCCGAGAGGCCCCGGAGCAGGGGGGGGCTGGTGCGTTAAACAGTTCAACCGTGGGTCATGGCCCTACTGGGAAGTCTGGACTGCAGCTCCGGGTTATGAACAGCCTGGAAACGGTGTGTGTGGAGCAGCCGGTGCACGGCAAAGATCTCAACGCCGCCGCCAGGGCCTGGTCCTTGACGGGGCGCAGCTGAGTTTATTACCACCAAAAAGCGGTGCGCTGTGCAGCCCCCCACGAGGCTCCCAGGCCGGCTGCCCCTCTCCTCCTGCGCATCGCACTCCTCCGGCCCCGGGGTCCGTGCTGACTGCCGCCCCGCAGAGGCTCCTGGGATGCCGCTGCAGGGAGCAGGGGGGTGTGAGCTGCTGGGCCCCAGGGCCCCCGCTGCCCCCACCACCATCATCCTGCAAGGTGGAGGCCCCAGGGCCTGGGCAGGGCTGCACCCACAACGGCAGGGACCCAGCAAGGGTCTGCCTGGGAGCCTGGCACTGCTGCAGGGGCGGGGAAAGCCCGACGGATGCACGAGTTTCACAGACAGACAACCCTCCGCACCCAGAGGTGCATGGATGGATGGCAAGACAGACAGAAAGACAGACAGCCTTTCCAGGGACACAGACTGATGGATGAGCTTCACAGACAGAGACAGACAACCCCCACGAGCAGAGACAGACACACAGACGGACAGATCGGTCTTCCAGAGACACAGATGGTTGGATGAGCTTCACAGACAAACAGACAACCCCCTGCAAAACAAAGACGTAAGCTAGCTATCTAGATAGCGACACAATAGCCCTCCCGGAGAGACAGACAGATAGATGGCCTTCCCAGACAGACATAAGGTCTGTCCCAGAAAGATAGACAGCCGGACCCCCTTCCCAGACACACACACAGACACGTGGATGGAGCCCCTTGCAGGGTGGGGCCGTCCTTTCCTGCCCTGCTCGGGGTGATGCCTTTCCCTTGCGCCTGCCCACAGCCATTTTGGGCCACAGCCCACGGGCATCGCCCGCAGCAAGACCTGGGCTGTTGGGGCAGGCGCCAGCCTGGACCGCACGTCCAAGCAGAGCCCAGTGTTGCTCCAACAACAAAGGATAAAACTCTGCTGCAACTGCCCTTCTCCCCGGGACCTCCCAGCAGCTCCCCCCTTCCCCGCCCCGGCTTCCCTTGCTCCCAGCAGGGCCCCGGCTCCCTGCTTTGGGGAGGAGGTGGGTTGCCTGCCATCTGCCATGGGTGGAGGGCAGACCCTGGGGCTCATCGCTGGGAGCCCCCGCCATGCGGAGCTGCTTTGCCTCGCCAACGGCAGAGCCGTGCAGTGCAGAGCACACGACTGGAAAAAACTTATTTGTCACCCACTGGTGATGAAGGAACGCAGCGGCGGGGGATGCGGGTGCCAGAGGGGGAAGATCGGGCCCTGCTGGAAGGGGGTAAAGCCCACGGGGCTGGTCCCTGCACTGGGTAAATCTGCAGGGCCGGCGTGGAGACCAGCTGCAGCCTGGAGCTGGGGGCTTGGGGCTGGGTTGAGCTCCATGGTGCAGCATGTCAGGGGGAAGGAGCCAGAGGAGAAGAGGGTAGGCACCTCCTTGAGCCCCATGTGCTGGGCACTCCCCCACATCCAGCTATGCCCTGCACCCCAGGCCTGGGCGAGGCCTCCAGGGGCCTCTGCCATCCCATGGCAGGGCAGGGGCAAGCGCAGCACAGCGCCTCGCTCCACCACCTGCCGATTGTTTAATGCTCTGATTTGCATCCTATTTGCATACAGGCAGAAAGCTCGGGCAGGTGCCAGCGCACCTGTCCTGAGCAGGTGCAGGGGGAGGGAGAGCTGAGCATAGCATGGGCCAGGGGGTGTGGGTCCCACGTGCCCAGGACCTATGGCTCTGCTCGCTCCCCGGGCAGCCATGGGAGGCAGCGGTGCAGCAAGGTCCCCCCAGCCCCAGCCCCATGCCAGGGTTGGCTACCTCTACAGACCCTGCCTGGGCACTGGGGAAGCAAGCAGCACCAGAACCGTGCCCAGGACTGTGTCCAAGACCTGTACTGACAAGTGGTGATGTCCTCTCGCCTGCTGGGGACACGCGCACCCGTCTGGCACTGCGGGGATCCCAGATGTGGTCAGGAAGCCGCAGCAGAGCCATGCAGGCGGCCTTACGCACAGGAGAGCAGCACGCCCATGTGGGGGGAAACTGAGGCAGAGACAGCAGAGCCCCTCTTCCCCCCAGCTTAACATCCACCAGGGACAGGGCAGGAGTAGCCCCGGGTTCCCTTCCCAGCAGGCTCGAGGGGCTGAAGTAGGACAGAGGCTGTCTTTACAGCACCCAGCTTGCCCCTGCCCGCGCCGCCCCTTGCAGCTGGGTGCCACCTTGCACTGCCCCAGGCTGCAGGGGCTGGGAACTGGGCACCCCTGCCCCTGCCCCTACCAGCAGGGCTTCGCTTCAGGCATCTCCAGCCCCCTCCGTGCCTTGCTCGCCGTGCCACAGCGAGGTCGCCGGCCTGGCCTGACAGTCAGCCGTGCCGGCTCCTCGGCCGCCCTGGCAGGCATGCCAGCCAGCCCACAGAGGGCACGGCCCTGCCTGCCTGCCTCTGGTGGGCACACGCGGGAGCAGCCCCGGCGCAGGGCAGAGCTCCTGGGGCATCGTGAGCGCGGGCACCGCGTGCACACGAGCCCGTGTGCGCCCCTGCCCTGTGCCGGGCCGCGAGCAGCC